AAGCCCACCCAATTGGCCACACCCAGCCAATGGGCCACACCCAACCGGCACTCGACGTATAAGTGGGTTTTCAGTTGCAGTTTGGGCACTCAGTCTCTAAAAGGTTCGCCATCACTGGAATAGGCTATCTCTGAAATAAGACTTGCCCATTGAAAGCAAGTTAATATATCCCAGAGGTTTTTTAAAATTAGAATTAGTATGAGTTGTTATTATAATATCCTGACTTTATTTTGTACATTTCAAGGTGCTGTACATAATGCTCCTGCCTACTGTTTTCCTTATCATCTCCACAAACTTTGGACTAAAGAGAGGACTAGAGACATCCAGCTGGGTTTTGTCCCTAAAGAAGGACTACAACTCACAGGCTCCTAGTTTCTAGTCCAGGACCTTATCCATTATAGCAAACCAGGTTTACTGTTAAATAATACTTTCATAATGTATGTTGTTTTGTTTTGAGGGTTTTATTATTCTATTTTTGAATGTTTTAGTGCATTTATGTTTGTAATGGATGTTTTATCTTTGCATGCTGCTGAGAGTCATGATTATTATAGTATAAAAATATATACTTGTTTTAAGCTTGTCTATTCATGCATACACATGAAAAAAGATTGACTAAAAGGGATCGAAATAATTATTTATGATTTAAAGATTCATGAAATAATTGATAGAATAATGGACATGAAAGAAAAAGATGCCAAAAAAACTTGTAATGAAAATACAATACTTGCAAGAAGAGAAATGAGTTCTGTAAAATATTATAGATTATTTCCTTAACAAAATGAATGAAAATTGAACATATAGCAAGAGAATGTAAAAACTGCTTGGAATTGAATGAAAAGAATAATGTTTCAGAGTAACATAGAAATATAGGAGCTATGAAAAGGAATCCCTGGTGAAATGATGAAGTGAAAGAGGCTATGACTGAGAAATAAGACACACAAGAAAATGGTATTAAGTAATAGGAAAAACGAGTTGGAAAGACTGTAATCAAGGAGAGCAAGGAACATCTAGGAAAAATGAAAAGAAAATCAGAGCCATTCTGATGGCTGATTTAGAATGAAATTGAAGTGAGGGAATCCTGAAACAAGAATTTTAGAGAAGTATATGGGAATGACAACAGTATGTTGAAAGACAGGATTTTTTTTAAAAAAAAAAACCCTCAACACTCAAGAAAAATTGAGCTAATAAATGCTATGACAACATGATGAAACTGGAGAAATATTAAAATATGGATGTAGCTTCCATTCTAAATTTTTGTAATTTGCCTAATGTATGAGTGAAAATACACCTGGGGAAGAAGGACATCATTGCTTTCCAATTTAGGGAAAAGGTAGCAAGTGAATGAACAGCATAAAAATATGAGCTGGTTTGGTCATAAGAATGAATTGCAAAACAAATATATGAAGGAAGAGTGAATGGGTCCAGTGGAAAGTCATGGTTTGGTAGAGTTGATGAAAACTTCAAAAGTGAGAGATGAGAATTATGCAGAACAAAGGACAATGCATGATGTATGGATGTATGATGTTTTGCAATGATTTGCAAGGGTAGAAAGACAGAAGAGTACTGAATGGTGCAGATGGACGCTAAATTAGCAATAATGACTTTCCTTTTTCTTACCTGATTGGTTAATTTCTTTGGCTTATTATTTCTTATTCCTCTTCTGCACAAAGCCAGGTCATTATGGCAGCTTTTCAAGTCATATGAATAGTATCACTAAGTAGTACAATGTAAGAACATGTTTTTTTTAAAAAAAAAATAAAAATCCAGTTCTACGTTTAATATAGAACACATGCTGTATTTTACATGGTACAACTTACATTGAGTTAGCAGCTCCTTTTGCAAATCAGTGGAGTTTTATTTTAATTTGTTTAATTAATAAATTATTTGGAAGGATGTTTATTTAGATATATTTATCTTAAAAAGGATCACTATTGGACTTGAAGATAATAAATCCCATTGAATGCAACATAGTTAATATAAGTTTCATGATAATCCAAAATATGTTTATTATATTAAAAAAGGGAAAGGTTTTAGTGGTTATGATTATAAAAACAATCTCAGGGGAAATATAGTTAGATAGTTTGGGCTTTTTCTCTAGAAACTAGATGAATATAGTTATTACTTTGTGAGTCTATTCTTCAATTGTCCTTTTCCACACAAAATTTAATTTGGAGAATTATTCCATAAATCAAGTATGTACTTGTTCAATTTCCCTAGAGAACTATGTATATTTACTGTCACAGTTGTAACTATCCTTCCTCCAAGGCACTCAGGTCTGAGTTATGGCATTATCCAATTTATTCACACAACAGGATTGATAAAAGGAAACATTTCTTTGTACAACAGGTAGTTAAAACTATGAAATGTGTTGCCCTCAACTACAGTAATGGTCACAAATTTTTATGTTTTTAAGGGTGCTGAAAAGGCTAAGCAGCTAAATGTTACCTTCCAAATCCCAGATAGACACTTCAAAATACCAACTGCTAGGAAACAATAGCCAGGGAAGGTTATTTCCTAAAGCTATCCAGTTGATCGTTCTGTGAGACAGAAGAGGGGACTAAATGGGCACTTGGCGCCATCCTGGCCTGATCCAGCCAGGATCTTCTAACGTTCTTAACAATCGCTGATTTGAGCTGTGAGGCAAAAAGCTGCACAAGGCTGTTTAATCATGTCAAGGAACAGCAAGAATCTGAACTCATCAATAACTGTCTCCCTGGTATTGTATTGTGATATGGGGAAATTCAAGGTATTTTTTACAAGTCTTCATAATAATGAAGCTTAGTTTGCTGCATAAGTCGTGTTTAGTTCACAAAGCAAACCCTCCCTGAAAACATCTATCAAATTGTCAAAGTTTGAAGCTATGTTTCATGACAGCTCTCTTCAATAATTCATCTTTGGTTCCATTGCATCACTTTGACTTATTGCCATGTAAAGTTACTAGGATTGGAATCCTAGACATTTTTTAAAAGGGTGAAAAAAATTAGGCCCACAGAAAAATATATCAGAAAAGCCCCCCAGAGATGACAGATTCTCATCTAAGCTGTAAATTTCTAATGTGGAAACTTTACTGGCCTTGAATGTTTTAATACAGAGTTACTTGACTTTAACAAAATTAGATTATTTCCTGACAGTAGCACCATAAAGCTACTCATTAAATGCAGTAATGAGTTGACTGCCATGTTCTTCATTCTTCACATCCATGAAATGATTTAGAATAAGGAGGGTATTAAGGAGGGTATTTTACATATGATTAATAGGGAAAAATATAAATACTTTTCAAGAGAATCAGATCAGAAATAGAAATATCATTCCTTTATCTTATTATGTATCTGTTCAAACTTTGTTTTTCTGACCTTGTGGATGAAGGTGCAAGGTTTGTAAATGGAAATGATGACAAAAAAGAGCATGCATGGTACTAGCAAGGGTATATTTTCAAATCTCCAGTTTGTGGACATTATGGGCTTCAAAATATGTCAATTTTCTGCAGGCAGATTTTAAACTTGGCTTAGGATTTGCCTTCAATAGCAGCTTTTGGGAAGGAAGACAATGATTTTTCTCAAAAACATTTGTACTATTGCTATAAATCAGGAGTGTCCAATTTTGGCAACTTTAAGACTTGACAGGCTGGGGAATTCTGGGAATTGAAGTCCACAGGGTTTAAAGTTGAGAAGTTTGGACACCCCTGCTATAAATTGCAACTCATAAACAAAAATCTGCAATCTAGGGAACTTCACTGGGTGTACTCTGAAGATTGTCCTTTATTACTACTATTACTATTACAACTACTATTACTGTTCAATTTGTATTCCACCATTCTGATTAGCTTTTTCCTCACAGAAAAGCAGCTTGTCCTCCCACACTAAATCAAGATACCCAACTTTCCAGAATAGTTTTCATGTAAGTTTCAAAATAAAGAATCACAATTCTCCCCGTAATTCTTAGTGTACAATACCAGTCACTTTGTTCCTGATATTGAAACCAAGACCCGTATGTATTATGTTGGATCCAGACTAAATTGTACTTAGGAAAAAATGCAATGAAATAAATTGCACAAAATAGTGATAGCTAACAAATTTCAGTCATTTTCATGGGTTTCTTCTACATAAACATGGATCTGACCAGTATTTTTTTTTTAAAAAAAAATAAACATGTATTTGGGTGAATATGTTTGTTTGTATCTATGAAGGGAGCAATTTAAGGCTTCCGAGAATATATTTGCCCCTCCATCCTGGGACTATTTGTTTTGTAGCTCTGGATCCACCTCTGACTACAGTTATTAAAAATTGGTGGCATCGTTTTCTGCCATTTTGACATGAGACATATCTCCAGAATGCCCTAAAATAGACTTATCGTGGTTTGTAAAATAACAGCAACTCTTCTTTTCTCATCAAAACTTTGAAGGGGGAGGAAAGAATATCTTGGCTCTGCCCCTTTGCATCCCAATATCCTGGCCCTTAACAATCCACATGCTGTCACATGTGATCCTTGTAATTAAAAGTTGGACACTTCTTATTGATATGTCATTTAAAATGCATTTCAAAATCAAGAGTATTTTAAAAACACAGACACACTATACTATACTATCTAGACAGGGGTATCAAACTGCCGGCCCGTGGGCTGGTTGCATCATGCGGAGGCCGCACCCACCCCAGCTCTGGCAATGCAAAAAGTCGTGATACATCATGACACGTCACGTGATGCGGAGAGTTTGACACCCATGATCTAGGACTTCTCAGGATTTGGAGAAATGAGTTGGAAACGTTCACAACCGCTGTGACTATGAAAATGAAGATGTTTTCTCCCTTATGAATCTCAGGTCTTCTGAGATGAAGAGCAAGTGACCATCCCTCAAACAGAGTAGGGAGATACTCCTCTTAAGTCATGGAGTATTGTACCAGCTTCATAATTCCTCAGACACCAAGATGAAAAACGATGAGGAAGAACTTACTACTTTCTTCAATATTTTAAGTTCTGCTATGAAATGCAATATGTGCTATTTGTTAATTTAAAAATTCTGCAGAAAGACTCCTGCTACATCTAGCAGACCGGAACTTGAGCTCATGGTAACACTGGACAAAGCTGTGGTAGATGAATGTAATAGGCAGGGCTAACAAAACAATTCCACTGACTACACAAATCCCTCCAAGAATCCTTCCAGGTACTGTGATAGGACAAACATCCCCATAACCAACTGTGGTCATGGAGATGATAACCCACCAACAAGCAGCAGGAATGCTCGCATAGCCTTCATTGGGTTTTCCTATTTTCAGTCCGTGTTCAAGAAGTTGGGCAAGAGCACTGAAAATTGCCATCGCAACACAAACGAAGACGAGCAGCATCACCATCTCCCTGTAGCATCGCTTCAAAGTCAGGCCAAGTGTCTGAAGGCCGATGAAGTGGCGGGCCAATTTAATTACCCAAAAAATCCGCATCATTCTCAGAACCCGTAAGGTGACTCCAGCCCTCTGAAGCTGAGAATTCTCCCCTGTAAAAATTGTCATCAGCACAGAAATATAATACGGAGTGATAGCCAGCAAGTCAATGATGTTCAGTGGTCTCTTAACAAACTCACACTTGTCTTTGGAGACAATGAACCTCACAATGCACTCTGCCGTGAACCAGCCGATGCAAATTGCTTCAATTATCCTGCCAAAAAAAAAACATAAGCAAAACTATTAAATTTATTTGAAACTCTTTATTGGGAATATTTTTCAATGCTTAGAGTCTTTTTTAATGGACACTTTTACACTGACATGGACTCAGACTTTTAGTAGAGAAATATGCCAAATTCAAAGTCAAATTGGACTTTATACAGTTATACTTTATTATACTTTATTGTTTTTCTTTCCAAAAATCTATTGTGTTAAAAGTCTTCCATGTGGATCTCTCATCTGGTTTTGTTTTCTTAAAGCTTTTTTAAAGATATTTTGATTTCTGGGGGAAGGAATTATCATTATCATTAAAATCTGAGAACTTAATATGTTGGTCAGGTTAAATGTTTCATTTACTTCTTTGATTTTATGTATATATGTGAAACAATTAATTTAATGTTCCCATATTTGGTTCAAACTGCAGTTTAATTTCTCTGTGAATTTCTTTTCAAAATACTAGTGCTGGGCCATTTAAAATGCTTTTCTGGATGAATGATTACTATTCAGCAGTAAAATAGCTCAAGCAGTCCTCCAAAGCATTTGAAATCACCGAAAATAGAATGGAACAGCTCTCTGTGGTTACCACAACCTTGAAAGAGCAGCAGATAGTTTTTGTGAACTGTTAGAATTGTTCAAACAGAAGCACTAAAACACTGAGGATTCTTCTGATTTAAGCCGAGTATCATGTTCAGACATGCCTCTTAATGCTTTTTGAACAGAATATAGACTTAATCATTGCAGCAATGCCAGTCATCAAAATAAAAGCCAAAGGAGATCCAAAGATTAAGTAACCTCCATATATGTGCTGAACTTCAGTTGGCCATTCTTTGAACTATTATAGTATGGTAGGGTTGCAATGTTCCAGATGTCCAGGAAAGAGCAAAGAAAAGTGGAGTATTCTGCACTCTTTGGTTGCCATCCGGTGGGCATCCAGATATTTGCAGACCAGATGTGATACTTCTGCTTAGGGAGATTAAACTCCAACTCATCTAAAAGACCTGGTTTGTTGGGAAAGGAAGCTCTACAATGATTGCCCAACTTCTTCCCACCTCTAAAATCATGCTAAACTATACCCTTGCTGTGTCTTCAAAACAGCAAAGTTTAAAACAAAGTAAAGATTCCAGTCTAGCAGTGCTATTATTCCAGAAGTTGTATTGCATGAGGAAGAGAAGACTTGCACTGTAATTCTGAAAATATTGATGGAGACGATATGACTGTGGGACAATTTGGACTCCATGTATATAAAAAGGGCCCAAAGAACACTGTATAACACCATCAGAGGTAGTAAGTTGCAACAAACAGTTCTATCCTACTGTTTTCCTGAATTAATTACAAAATGTCAAAAATAACATTTTAAAATTTACTTGGTTTTCATTTCTGCATTTTGTTCACTTCTATCAGCCGGATATTGAAAAGAGACCCCCCCCCCCTCTTTGCCTATTGCTACCCTTGTGTTGCAGCTAGAAGAGTCTGAAAATTCAGAACCAGTCTCTGGAAGTCAAAACAAGATGCCAAAGTAAGCAAAATACTATAGCAAGACAAGCATAACTTGTAACCTGTAGAAATGACCAAAGGTGGAATCCCACGTCAGCATTCATGCTTCCACAATGGAGATACACCAAAACAGTTAATCATAGAGACTTCCCATAGCTGTACTTTTGGCTCAGGCTGTTTTATATCCATCTCCAATGTTTATGATGTTTCAATACCTGCATACAATTTTCACCAAGAAAGGAAAGCTTTCCTCCAAAATACTTACCTGTGAATTGAATGAAAAGAAAAGAAACTGCTGTTGAGAACAAAATAAAAAATAAGAAATGGGGAGATGGTGCAAATGACTGGACATATCACTGCTGAAAAGCATGGATGCCTTTGAAGATTTGTTTAAAGATGCTTTTCTGATCAATTTTAATCCCTTTTCTAAAGTCTAAACAGGATTTCTCTTTTTTTTCCTTTGTGATGCTACTCCTTCCCCTCACTTCAACTCCATCTGTTTCCTTCTTCTTTGTTGTTTCTCTGGAAGTAGAAAGGTATGTTTGTGTGCTTCTGTGTATGAATGATTTGTGTGTGCCAAAACCTAATGGTTGTATATGCATTTTATAAACTCAGTACCTTATTTTATCAGTAATTAATAATCAGTAATTATTAATTAATATTAATATTTTAATCAATTAATATTTTTGTTTGTCCTATCTTTGTTATTTTTTCAAGTAAGATTTCTAATAGTTATACAAGGAGAACAAAAGACTCTAAAAATATTTAAAGGTAAAAACCAACAAGACAAATACTGGTTAAAACCTACAAAATTATTTAAAGAAATCTACAAAATTAAAAACCTAGCTTTCGTTGGCAAACTGCCAACTTTCTCAGGGCTGTAGTTCATACAGGGCGGGAGAAGTTCCTTTATAGCTGGCCATTACTCTGCATCCGGCACCAAGCCCTAGTCATCAGGCGTGGCCGGTCAACGAGAGTTTTGCTTTCCTTGCCATTGGTGGTTAAGCTCCTGCTACTACTCTCGGCCTCGGAGTCAGTCCTCCTCTCATGAACACACTCCTCCGCCGGAGNCTCCGGCGGAGGAGTGTGTTCATGAGAGGAGGACTGACTCCGAGGCCGAGAGTAGTAGCAGGAGCTTAACCACCAATGGCAAGGAAAGCAAAACTCTCGTTGACCGGCCACGCCTGATGACTAGGGCTTGGTGCCGGATGCAGAGTAATGGCCAGCTATAAAGGAACTTCTCCCGCCCTGTATGAACTACAGCCCTGAGGAAGTTGGCAGTTTGCCAACGAAAGCTAGTTTTTTAATTTTGTAGATTTCTTTAAATAATTTTGTAGGTTTTAACCAGTATTTGTCTTGTTGGTTTTTACCTTTAAATATTTTTAGAGTCTCTTCTTCTCCTGGTGTTCTTTACTTCTTGTTGTGTTATGGATCCTCCCAGGAGTCATATGTATGTTTTTTGTGTTATTTTTAATATATATATATTAAATATATATATGACACCTACACACATTTATCAAGGAAGGGGAAATTTCCAGTATTGATAAATATGGTGCAATCTTTTTGAATTTAAATGAGTGGCTTTTTATTTAATTTATAGTTAGAGTGTTTTAATTTTGTTTTTCAATCATTTAGAATTATTGCCATTGCATATTAGAGAGACAGCAGTACTGAGTGTCAGCCAATCATTTTTATATACTATTTAAACTTAATGGCATGATTTACCTCTAGTTTGCTGCCTATCAAGAGAATGTATGTATTCACCTAAGACTAGAGACATATTCAAATAACAACTAGATTATGTATTTTAAAAAATGGGAGAATTAGTTCTGCTCATCTAACATAACATGAATGCTGTAATTCATAATAGAGCTTAAACTATTCAATTATGCATATTTTCTATTTCATCAGGGTAGCCTTCTCTGTTTTGTTTCACTCTTCTCTCTTCATTCTGCTTTCTAAAATATGTTTCCTGATGAAGAGTAGCAGGACTTGGGAAAATCCTAATAGATGCAACAATAGTGACATTTTATTTCAGAGTGGTACACGTTAACTTTGTTCTGATTATTTTTAGTTTAAACAATGAATTCTGCAATCTAGGTTTACCCTGGTCTCTGGTTTCCAATTTAGTTGCATATACAATTCTGTTAAGGAACAAAAAAAAGTAAATAAATATAGAGCAATATGTTATACAATAGCTATATGTCTATTCAATAGCAATGCAAACAATTCCAGTATACTTGCCCCACATTGTAATGCTGAACTACAGTCCTTTTTTAAAAAAAAAAACCACAAAATTAGTTCCAATGGAGAACGTAATAATATTTTCTAACCTGGTGCTCTGCCGAGATTTGAGGGATACTATTTATTTGACATATTTATAAGGGCACCTGACTCCAAATGAGCCTGGGCGGATGAAAAACAATTAGTCAAAAAATAACAATGGCTTACCTGGAAGGAATGACCCACAAGTGAACTCTCACATAGGCCTACCGCCTCCTCCATTCAGCCTAATCCAAGGCCTGGAGGAAAAACCAGGTCTTCAGAGTTTACCGGAAGGAGAGCAAGCACTCTGAATCACCCAGAATTTCCCATGTGTTTAGGAATTAAACTCATTCAGAAATGTAGTTCAGCATTACTTGCAGGGGCACAGAGAGAGCTGACATGAAAAAAATAAAGCTAAATATTCCAATAGATATGGCCATTTTATTTCTTTTGTATTCAACTTTCTTAATTTAGAATATTTATTACACTTCTAAGAAAATTATTTTAACAATTGTATGATGATTCTAAACTTAGGTCTCTTACAACTCCCCGAGTCCTAGGAGATTACTCTAAATCAATCCTTTCATTTAATTTGTTTACTTTTTGCTCTTACTGATAAGACTTAAACAAAATAGTCTTCTAGTTTAAACCACTTCAGAATTTTTTTTTAAAAAAATCAGTAATAAGGCTAGTTTGTTGTATTCAAAGTAATTATATTCTGAGCTGTCAAAGCAGCTTTCAGTTGCAAATTGCACATTTTCCTTTACGAAGTTTTATAAAATTCTTCTGCAAATTTATTTTAGAGCTAAAAATAGAAAAATCAAAGGCATGGCCTCATCATCCACTAAATATCTGAATAAAATGGAATATACAAGACAAGAAACACGAAGGGGGGAAAACAAAAGACAAGACAGCCTGTGATTAAAGTTGACAACATCAGTTTGTGGATGAGGATGTGCTTTTATTCTTGCATCGAAGTACCTTTAGAAACCAACCACATATTCCCACTCCTACCTTTACACAATCCCAATAAAATCAGTAATTAACCTTTTTTGAATTGTTTAAAAGTAAATGTGAATTTGGGGTAGAATAACATTTATTATTTGTTCAGCAGGAAGATTTACTAGCACTTACCTCCAAGTATACTTAGGATTCAGTGGCTCATGAAATCTAGCACAACGCTATTTGTATTTAGTTTGCTTGGTTTACATTTGCTATTCTTCATCATTCTTGCCT